TGCAAGAAAACGAATGCACCAATGAAATACACAATGAGCAATGTTCAACCGGCCATAGGCTGCGGATCGGACGGACAGAGAGAGTGAATATTACCGTACGACGCAATATTATTGATTTATCTCCACGTGATTAGTATTGATCCACGATAACCCTAATTTGGGTCGAATGTGTTTTGAAGTTGTTTGATTTTGTTCACAGCATTAGCAAGCATGCAGCCGGGTTTATCTTGGGACGAATGGCATTGATCTCCGTCCCAACACCTCCCCCACTTAGATTGGTTACCTGTAGTGTTGACACTGATAACATTATCGAACAATGGTTTAGATGTCTCTGTTCATGAAGGGCCAGTACACATAGCTTCGTGCGATTGCTTTCATCCTGCTCATACCAGGGTGGGCTGCATGAAGTTAGCGGAGTACTCGTGAACGTAATGACGATGGAATGACAACACGATTGGCGAACATGAGGCATGAGTCAACCACAGATAGGGATGCACGTCGCATATACAACTGTTTCAGCTCGTCGGAGGTCACTGTGGGTGGCCAGCCATGTATAGTCCATGATATAGCGGATTGAACATTGGGGTCATTAGCTGAGGCATACTTGATGTCCTCTGCAGTAACGGGAGTTCCTTTGATAGCGGCGTTCAGTGCCCGACGTGTGTCAGCGTCGGACGTGATAGCTGCAGTCATAATGTCTTCTGGGGTGGACGTCTGGTGTTGTGGAAGACGTGATAAACCATCCGCTTGACTGCGTGCGGCGGAATTCTGGTTGAGCGTCAGGTAGCAGTTGCAGTGAGGCTGGAGCACGGGTGCATAGTCCGAGTCCGTCTTGGAAAACCTCCGGAAATTGTTGTCACTTGAGTGGTTTATCAGAGAGATAACAAATACCCTGCTTGTGTATGTCAGCAAATGCGATAGTACACTCAAAGTGTGCTACTAGTTTGATAGAGCCACCACAAGCACTGGTGGCGTACGTGTGATTCGTGTCAGTGTAGGTCGGCCGATGGAGGACCACAGTTGTCTCGAAATAATAGTAATGTCTGAAGCTGTATCGAACTGTAGCCGTATCGGACATCCCTTCATAGAAAGACAGATATATTGTCTAGGGGTAGCTTCATTCAAGTTGAAATGTGCGATCAAACTCAATTACTGACCCCCAGGTTTAGCAGACCTGTTGCGGAGTCTGATGTTTTGTTTGAATCATCGAGAGTTACCGTGATTTTTCTATTTGTTGATCTGATGGCCCGTTTGTTGATGCTGAGTATTACGGCTCCTTCGTAGTGGACAAAATCGATGAAAATGCCA